TGAAGTAATGGCAGGGGAATTAGTAGAATTTGAAGAGGGTACAATTGGCATTGCTCTCAATTTGGAATCCACCAATGTTGGTGTTGTATTAATGGGTGACGGATTGATGATACAAGAAGGAAGTTCTGTAAAATCAACAGGAAGAATTGCTCAGATACCAGTGGGTGAAGCCTATTTGGGTCGTGTTATAAATGCCCTGTCAAATCCTATTGATGGGAGGGGCGAAATTTCATCTTCTGGATTTAGATTAATTGAATCCCCCGCTCCAGGGATTATTTCGCGTCGTTCCATATATGAGCCTCTTCAAACTGGACTCATTGCTATCGATTCAATGATCCCTATAGGCCGTGGTCAGCGAGAATTAATTATTGGAGACAGACAAACTGGTAAAACAGCAGTAGCTACGGATACGATTCTAAATCAACAGGGTCAAAATGTAATATGTGTTTATGTAGCTATTGGTCAAAAAGCATCTTCTGTGGCTCAGGTAGTAACTACCTTACAAGAAAAGGGAGCCATGGAATATACTATTGTGGTAGCCGAAATGGCGGATTCCCCTGCTACACTTCAATACCTCGCTCCTTATACAGGAGCAGCTATAGCTGAATATTTTATGTATCGTGAAAAACACACTTTAATCATTTATGATGATCTCTCCAAACAAGCCCAAGCTTATCGCCAAATGTCTCTTCTATTACGTAGACCACCTGGTCGCGAAGCTTACCCAGGAGATGTCTTTTATTTGCACTCACGTCTTTTAGAAAGAGCCGCTAAATTAAGTTCTAAGTTAGGGGAGGGGCAGTATGACTGCTTTACCTATAGTAGAAACGCAATCGGGAGATGTTTCTGCTTATATCCCTACTAATGTAATTTCTATTACTGATGGACAAAATATTCTTATCCGCCGATCTATTTAATGCTGGAATAAGACCTGCTATTAATGTGGGTATCTCTGTTTCCCGAGTGGGGTCTGCAGCTCAAATTAAAGCCATGAAAAAGGTAGCTGGTAAATTAAAATTAGAAACTCGCCCAATTCGCTGAATTAGAAGCCTTTGCCCAATTTGCTTCTGATCTTGATCGAGCTAGTCAAAATCAATTAGCAAGAGGTCAACGATTGCGCGAATTGCTAAACAATCCCAATCCGCTCCTCTGACGGCGGCAGAGCAAATTATTACTATTTATGCTGGAATAAATGGGTATCTTGATTCATTAGAACTTGGACAGATCAGCAAATTTCTTATTGAGTTATATACTTACTTCAAAACTAATAAACCTCAGTTCCAAGAAATCATATCGTCTACCAATACATTACCGATGAAGCAGAAGCCCTTTTGAAAAAAGCTATTCCGGACCAAAAGGATCGGTTTCTACTTCAAGAAAAACTTTAAATAAGTACTTCAATCAAAAAATTCAAACACAATAGAAAGATATGGAAAAATTGCGCCCAATAGGATTTGAACCTATACCAAAGGTTTAGAAGACCTATGTCCTATCCATTAGACAATGGACGCTTTGGTGCTTCTTTTTTGCGTCTTACCCCTCAAAATTATTTGTAACAATAAATAATTAGATCGGAATTCTAGGTGATCTTTTTTTATTGTCTATTCCTATTCCCCTTTAAAAATATTCTCATTAATGAGCATCTCCAAATAAATCTTTCAAATAATAATCAAATAATAATTTTTTTATTCCATTTTTATTCAATATGAAATTCAAAATGATTTTCTACTTCCTTAGAAAACAACGCCCGGTTGAGTAAGGACCGGGCCGTGCGAACAAGAATAGCCTTTTCAACATTTAAATAATTGAGTAAAAAATCAAAACAAAACATCTTATAACTCTTAATTTAGATTTTTATAAAATAATATAATAAAAATATTTAAATAATAGATTGAAAAGCATAATCAAAATAAAAAAAATTACTTAGTTCTATGTTTATTATAAAATAAGAATTCTCTAAATAAAATTTGGAGAGATGGCTGAGTGGACGAAAGCGTCGGATTGCTAATCCGGTGTACGAGTTTTTCGTACCGAGGGTTCGAATCCCTCTCTTTCCATTTTTGTGGATCGTATTATTTCTTTTTTTTTTTTTTTTTATTTGCAAATTCGTTTTATTTTATTCTTCACGTCCAGGATTACGCCTTGGATCATTAGATAGGAACCCAAAGATAAATAGAGAAACAAAAAAGATGACTACTGTGTATACGAAGAGTTTGAGAGTAAGCATTACAAACCTCCAATATTTTTTATTGAAAAAAAAATAAATAGAATATATTTTCTATTTTGAGACCACATAGGTACTATAAGGTACCAAGAAAGAAAGTTGAAATAGAGTTAATTTTCTAAAGAAAAAAATTTCATAAATCAAATTGAAATAAGAGTTTACCAAATTAAATATGGGGAATGGTCCTAATCCTAGTAGAGTCTTTTACTATAAAAAAAAGCTTTAAAAAGCAAGGAAGTTCTTATTCTTATTTTACTCAATTTGTTTAATTAAGTATTTCATCGAAAACTAACAACAGCCTGCCAAACAAAAGCTAAAAGAAAAAAAAGAACAGGTATTATTGGCATAAAATCGACGATTGGATTCAAAAAAGCATAAGATTCGGGCAATTTGCCGAATAAAAAACTACTTGAATAGAAGACAGAATTAAGACAGATAAAACTAAGCATAAAAGACATGTTTTTTTTGATAATGAATTATTAAGATATGATTTTTATAAAATTAATATAAAAACATTATATTGAATTCGTAGGGCGGGCGCAAAATATTGATTCCTCTTTTTAATTGAACCCTTCACAATGACTAGAAATATTTCAATATTTATAATACACTATAATAGAATATAGACAATATAATAATATACAAAAGAAATAAATTAACACATAAAAAAAACCAGAACCATAGAATCAAATTGATATCCATTTTAAATTCAATAGACAAAAATAAAATGGTTATTTATTTTTGAAGTGTTGAAGTGGGGCGGTGGCCAAGTGGTAAGGCAACGGGTTTTGGTCCCGGAATTCGGAGGTTCGAATCCTTCCGTCCCAAATCTTTTTGATCTTATTATTTCTATCGAATAGAAATAGTCTATTGAGATAGAAATAATAGAGAGAAAATAATCTATCTACCTAAATAAAATATATAGAAAACCTAAAAGGATAGTATGTTTAGAGACAACTCAAACCAATACTAGAACCTATGACTATTAAAGATTCCCTGATTTAATCAAGTACATATTGGTTTCCAAATTCTAAGAAAGAATATTATGGTCCAACGTGGTTTGCAACGATGGTGGTATAAATCAACATGTCACTTTAAAGATGAAAACCAAGATCCGTTATCTTGTTACATCCACCATTTTTTTTTATAAATAAAATAATAGGGTTATTGGCTTTATAGCAGTGAATTTGTTCCATATGATCTAAATAATGCTATTTTGTAATAGAAAGAGATTTTGATGTATATAGTTTATATAGTTATAGTTATGGTTTTTTTGTATAAAAAAAGGAGGAACTTAAAATAGATTTACAACTAGAGAGATCGAAAGAACAGAATTTCCTTTATCCACTTTTATTTCAGGAGTATATTTATGTCCTTGTTCATGATCGTGCTTTAAGTGGTTTAAAAGGGTCAATTTCTGCTGAAAATATAGTATATAAAAAAAAATTTAGTTTTCAAATTGGTGAAACGCTTAATTACTCAAATGTATCAACAGATACAGCTCACTAATTGTTATTATAAAAAAAGTCAAATTTTTAGAACCAGCAAGTTGTTCTATTGTAACCAGTTAGCTGAGGTTTTTGCTTTTATTTTGGAAATTCCGTCTTATTTAAGATTCATATCAGAGCGCAAAAAAAAAAAAACTCTTAAAATCTAATAATTTACGTTTACGGTCAATTCATTCCATATTTCCATTTTTTGAAGACAATTTATCACATTTAAATTTGGTATTAGATCTACTAATTCCCTCCCCCCCTCATCTGGAAATCGTGGTTCAAATAATTCGGTATTGGGTCAAAGAGGCTTCTTCTTTACATTTATTACGCTTCTTTCTATATGAGTTTTACAATTTTCAAAATTTGAATACTCCCAATAGGTCCCATTACATTTTGACAAAAAGACCTGAGCGGCTTTTCTTCTTTTTATATAACTCTTATTTATATGAATATGAATCCGTTTTTGTCTTTCTCCGCAACCAGTCTCTTCATTTAAAAGCAATCAGTTTTCGAGCACTTTTGGAAAGGAATCTTTTCTATGGAAAAATCGAATGCCTTTTAGAAGTATTTAATGAGGATTTTCTGCAAGTATCCGTTTGTTAAAGGCTCCGGATCTTTCAATGCATTATGGTAGGTATAGGGGAAAGTCAATTATGGCATCAAAAGAAACGTTTCTTTTGATATCAAAATGGAACTATTATATTGTAAAATTTTGGGAATCTTATTTTTCTCTTTGGTTCCATACTGGAAGAATAAATAGAAATCAATTATCCATCCATTCTTTTTCATTTATGGATTATCTTTCAAGTATTGTAGTAATCCCTTCAATAATACGAAGTCAAATGTTAAAGAATTCATTTTTAATAAAAAATGCTATTCATCAATTTGATACTGTTGTTCCAATTATTCCTATCCTTAGATCCCTAGCTAAAGCTAAATTTTGTAATGTACTTGGGAATCCCATTAGTAAACCGGGTTGGACCGACTTCTCAGATTCTGAGATTATTAAAAGGTTTTGGGCGGATATGTCGAAATTTTATTCATTATTATAGTGGTTCTTCCAAAAAAACCAGTTTGTATCAAATAAAGTATATACTTAGGCTTTCTTGTGCTCGAACTCTAGCTCGGAAACACAAAAGTACTGTACGCGATTTTTTAAAAGCTTGGGCTCGGAATTTTTAGAAGAATTTTTACATCGGAAGAACAAATTTTTAATTTCACGTTTTCAAAGGCTTCTTCAAATTTGAGGCGAGTTTATAAAAGGCGGATTTGGTATTTTGATATTGTTTGTATCGAAGAGCATATTAATTTTAAAAATTCATGCATCTTGTCAAATTCAAATTTTTACCAAATTATAAAATTATTAATAGAGGCAAAAAGTTTTATTTTTCCATTTGATCGTAAATCTTTCTTAAAAAAGTCTAATTAAAGGGTAAGCTTAGTTTTAACTTTTTTAAATTGACTACAGATAATTTATATATAATTTATATATATATATAGGAACGCTTATTCACAAAAATATTAAAAAAAAAATATATTCTTTACTCGAACTAACAAGTTCCAGATTGTAATTATGAGTACCAAATCGTCATACTTAAATTAAATGGAGAAAATTTGCTTGACTTAAAAAAAGGGGGCGGAATCAAATTAGATAGCTCTATTGGTTGACACGAATATCTAAGTCGTGTTATACTGTTGAATAACAAGCCTTTAATTTATTCTATTTTTTTTTTATTTCGTGTGCTTGGGAGTCCCTGATTATAAAATCAACCAAGAATTGATCATGACTGCAGTTTTAGAGAGACGCGAAACCCAAAGCTTATGGGGGGTCGTTTCTGTAATTGGATAACTAGCACTGAAAATCGTCTTTACATTGGATGGTTTGGTGTTTTGATGATCCCGACTTTATTGACCGCAACTTCTGTATTTATTATTGCCTTCATTGCTGCTCCACCAGTAGATATTGATGGTATTCGTGAACCTGTTTCTGGATCTCTGCTTTACGGAAACAATATTATTTCAGTGCCATTATTCCAACTTCTGCAGCTATAGGATTACATTTTTACCCAATATGGGAAGCGGCATCCATTGATGAATGGTTATATAATGGGGGTCCTTATGAACTAATTGTTCTACACTTCTTACTTGGTGTAGCTTCTTATATGGGGCGTGAGTGGGAACTTAGTTTTCGTCTGGGTATGCGCCCTTGGATTGCGGTTGCATACTCCGCTCCGGTTGCAGCTGCTACCGCAGTTTTCTTAATCTATCCAATTGGTCAGGGAAGTTTTTCTGATGGTATGCCCCTAGGAATCTCTGGGGACTTTCAATTTCATGATTGTATTTCAGGCTGAGCACAATATTCTTATGCACCCATTTCATATGTTAGGCGTAGCTGGTGTATTTGGCGGTTCCCTATTCAGTGCTATGCATGGTTCCTTGGTAACTTCTAGTTTGATCAGGGAAACCACAGAAAATGAATCGGCTAATGAAGGTTACCGATTCGGCCAAGAGGAAGAAACGTATAATATAGTAGCCGCTCATGGTTATTTTGGACGATTAATTTTCCAATATGCTAGTTTCAATAATTCTCGTTCATTACACTTCTTTTTAGCTGCTTGGCCTGTAGTAGGTATTTGGTTCACTGCTTTAGGTATCAGCACTATGGCATTCAATCTAAATGGTTTCAATTTTAATCAATCCGTAGTTGATAGCCAGGGCCGGGTAATTAATACTTGGGCTGATATAATTAATCGTGCTAACCTTGGGTATGGAAGTTATGCATGAACGTAATGCTCACAATTTCCCTCTAGACCTAGCTGCTATCCAAGTTATAGCTACAAATGGCTAGAGACTTCGTCTCTTAGTATATAGATAGAGAATCTATTTAAAATAGAATAAAGGAGCAATTCCGCCTTCTTGTCTAGAACAAGAAATCGGTTATTGCTCCTTTATTGATTCCTTTTTGAAAATAACATAGTTTAGTCGGGGGCGGATGTAGCCAAGTGGATTAAGGCGGTGGATTGTGAATCCACTATGCGCGGGTTCAATTCCCGTCGTTCGCCCATCACTCGAATTATCGTTTCGATAAATTCTATAAATGGGTGAAATATATGAGTGAAAGTAAATAACATGCCGCTATGGTGAAATTGGTAGACACGCTGCTCTTAGGAAGCAGTGCTAGCGCATCTCGGTTCGAGTCCGAGTAGCGGCATAAAAAATAAGAGTAATCTTTTGTTCTTTTTCATTTTTTTCTTATCTAATTCGGAGTTAAAATCTTATTTTTTTTTTATTTTTATGATAGTTTCAACCTTAGAACATATACTAACTAATATTTCACTTTCAATAATACTCGTTTCTATTTTAATTAAAATTTATTTGAAAATCTTTTTTGTAGATGAAAACATAAAACTTTCTAATTCATCAGAAAAGTGCATTTTCATAACTTTTTTATGTATAACAGGATTATTAGCTACTCATTGGATTTCGTCGGGCCATTTCCCACTAAGTGATTTATCGGAATCTTTGCTTTTTCTTTCCTGGAGTTTTGCTCTTATTAATAGCCTTTCCTATTTAAAAAAAATACAAAATTATTAAGTACAATAATAAGCCCAATCAATTTTTGTATCCAGGCTTTTGCTACTTCGGGTCTTTTCACAGAAATTAAAAAATCTTCAATATAGTCCCCGCTCTTCAATCTGAGTGGTTAATAATGCACGTAAGTATGATGATAGTGGGTTACGCAGCTCTTATATGTGGCTCCTTATTATCAGTAGCACTTATGGTCATTACCTTTAGAAAAAATGAAAATATTTTTAAAATGAATTATATTTTTTCGGCTAAAAATTTTTATAAGATTCAATTAAGTAAAGAATTGGATTATTGGAGTTATCGAGTTATTAGTTTAGGGTTTATCTTTTTAACCATAGGAATACTTTCGGGGGCTTTGTGGGCGAACCAAGCGTGGGGATCTTATTGGAGTTGGGGATCCTAAAGAGACTTGGGCTTTTATTACTTGGATAGTGTTTTCAATTATCTACATACTCGAAGAAATAGAACTTTCGAAGGTGCTACTTCGGCAATTGTGGCATCTATAGGTTTTCTTCTTATTTGGATATGTTATTTTGGAGTCAATTTAATTGGATTAGGTCTACATACTTATGGTTCATTTTCGCGAACATAAAAAAAGACATTAATTTTTTACTTCGTGAAAAGCTAAAAATTTGTGAAACCCGTGCTCTCAAATAAAAATATTTCCTATTTGAGAGCACGGGTGTTCAATAAAAATAGAATGAATTCAAATATACTTTTCTGGACCAGATCAATAAGCGAGACCCATACTGCGAGTTGTTTCATGCCATAAATAAACTCGAACACTCAAGAAATCTGTTGGGCAGGCGGATTCACATCTTTTACAGCCTACACAGTCTTCTGTTCTCGGAGCAGAAGCAATTTGTTTAGCCTTACATCCGTCCCATGGGTATCATTTCTAAAACATCGGTGGGGGCAGGCTCGGACACATTGAGTACATCCTATACATGTATCATAAATCTTTACAGAATGTGCCATTGGACGAATAAATTTATAAACTTTATGAATTATCGATATAGTATCCTCCAAATATTATTTTTATCCAATATAAAATTATAAGATACTTGGTTTTTAGATACTATATGACTCAATGAATTCTCAGAAGGATTCTAATCAATAGATTTCTGGATTGGTTTTGAAAATAAAAAAAAATTATTTTATGTTTTAATATTATCATTTTTTTATAACTACGCAAACTACCCTACAAACTACCTAATAGGGGTAAATAAGGATTCTTTTTTTTAATTAACTCAATCTATTGTTTTAAAGTTTTAAATAAATACTCCCTTCAAATTTATACAGTAAGAATCAATAGACAAAAGGACATGATGTCTTTCTATTCACTACCCCAAGCTATTCTTTTTTAATTGTTTCAGTAACCATATTGTTGTTCTAAATTTACCTCTATAATAGGTTTGAAAAGCTATGCAACTTCAAAATGAATGAGTTTTTTGTCTCTCTAATCTCCAATTTATCAATTAATTCTTTATAGCGGAATTTATTTTTTTTTGATAAATAAGCTAAAAGTCGTTGTCGTTTCCCCAAAATTTTACGTAAACCTTTTTGAGATAAATAGTCTTTTTGTGCAATTTCAAGTGGGAAGTAAGCCGGTGTATTCTATTGGTGAAATTCCATACTTGAAATTCAACGGAACCTCTGTTTTGTAAGTTTTTTATCATAAACTAAATGAACTCCCTTCATTGATATATAATATGCATTTAAAATAATTTTTTATAATTAAGTTCTAGATTCATTTCATAGATATGAAATAATTGATTAGTAACTAAAACGAACGAACAAAAAATAAAGAAAAAAAGGATAATATTATTTACTTTTATTCTATATTATAGAATAAAATCAACTTGACAGAAATGAGTCCAATGTTTTCTTATTTTTTTGTAAAAAAAACTTTGAAACTTACCCGTTAAAAGAGATTTTGCTAATGAAAGAGCTTTTAATCTTACCTCAATAGTCTTTCTTTTCCAAATGTTCTTACGAATACGCTTTTTGGCTTTCGAAATACGTTTTTTTTGGAACTGCCATTTCAAATGATTTACAGGTTATCACTGGATGTGAAAGACATTTATTGCTAAAAAGGAATTCTTCTAACTAAGTCTATCAATTCAAATCAAAAGAAAACCCTTTCTTTTAGGGTTCATTAATAAAATCAAAGTGAATTTTTTCAACTTAATATTCTTTTAATGAGGTACAATATATCTATATAGATCTAGATAGATATATGGTATCCTCAATTCAGTTAGATCCAAATTAAAATGAGGTATAAAATAGGGTATGTGTCCATATTGGTTTTCATCTAACCTGCTACCATCTACCCTGCTACAGGGTAGATAATACTACTATCAATTAAATTTCCACCAATTTAAATTCAATGGTAAATACATATGGATCCTTAACATACTGAAACGACTCCCATTATTAGTATAAAACCAATAACGATTCATACAAGCTAAATCTTCCAATCGATAATTAGGCCAAAGAAAAAATTCAATTAATTTATTTTGATCCTTAGGCCCAGGGTTGCTTTCTTCCCAAACTTTATTTTTGTTGGAAACTAGAGAATTTGCATCCACGCCATTCCATTTGTGTGAATTGAAACAAATTAGAGTTCTTAATTCTCTACGACGCCTAGATGATAAAATATTTTCAATAAGAAGCGGATCACAATTATTGTTCTCTCGAGCGCGAATTATTCTTTGTTTTACGTCTTCTTTATTAAGAATTTGTTTACTCTTATGAACCAACGAAATAACTATCGTTTCATACATAAGAAATTCTCCATTTGGTTTGATAGACAGCGGAAGGGGGTCGACCAAAAATCCCGTCTTTTTTTAAAAATTCTGGAACACTCTCTTTTGAATCTGGAACACTCTCTTTTGAATCTGGAACATTTCTTTTTGAATCTGGAACACTCTCTTTCTGATCCATCTGTGGCATTAGACCCAAATTTAACGTTTCCCTTAGAATCCATGATAGCATCATTTTTTTTCGATTTATCATTCTAAGCAAGAGACAATAGATTTGGAGATCTTGGAAAAGGCCTTGATTTAAAGTAAAATCCTCTCTAAATTGAAAAAATAAATAGTTTTTCATGAATACTCTAGTTCTATCTCAGTTTGACTTTTCTTTTCACCTTCAGTTTCACCTTCAGTTTCGCCTTTGGGTTTCACCTTCAGGTTTACCTTTGGTTTCACCTTCAGGTTTACCTTTGGTTTCACCTTCAGGTTTACCTTTGGTTTCACCCTGAGTTTCACCTTTGGTTTGACCCTCAGGTTCACTTTTGGTTTGACCCTCGGCTTTATCTTTTTTTTTACTCTCAGTTTTATCTTTTTTATCTTTCTGAGTTTTACCGGTCTTTTGACTTGTCATTTCATTAAGATTCAAATTTGAAATAAGTGATTCGCTTGGTATAATCCATGGTTTCAGTTTTATAAATTAACAAACCACACAAATTCTGGGAAAACCAAAAGTTCCTCAGCCGTTAATGGACGGTCGAGTATTTCTTCATTCAGTCCCATCCAATCCAATAAAGAATTTCTAGAATGGAGTCGATTCATTTCGGTATTTTTCTGAATCAAAAGAGCAAAAGGATCTTTTTCGTTTTTAAAAATTTGCTCAATTTTCAAAATTTCTTCCATTTTATCAATTAATTGATAATTGTAAGTGAAAATTGGAGTATTTTGAGTATTGTTATAATTACCCGTGATCCAGGACTCAATATTCGCTTTTTTTTTAAGAGAAAAATCAATATTTTTCCAATTCAAATATTTTCTATCGACATCTTTTTTTGGATATGGAATATTTAACCTTTCTATTTTTCCTCTGAAACTAGTGATAGGAATATTTTTCGTTATCGCAAACAAGTTGTTTTGTGACATCTTGTAATGATAAGAAATTGCTTCCCGTTTAGCTCCTGGAGGGGTTCCACTATTTTTTTCATACTGAATGTATTGATATGCTAAAAGATCATATCGATAGCATTTTTTTAAATTATCTTTTGTTTTTTTATTCAAGACTGAGTTAGCATCCTTTTGTTTCCTGTAAGTATTTAATTTTAATTTTTTACCGGAAGTCCTTTTGTCTAAATATTTTTGTTTAGACCTACGATAGCGATTCGCCCTATTTCTCCATTTTTGTTTTTGTGATCTTAAGGCAGACCAGAAATTAGGAGATAAATCGTAGTGAGAATTCCCTTTTAACCAAAATTTCCATTGACTCGTTCTAGGCCGCTTAAGTTGTTTTTTTATTCCTTCAGATGGAAGTATTCCTTGTGTATGAAATGAGTCTTTTATTTTCTTTTTAATCAAGAAAGATGTTCCATTTTGTTGAAGAACAGATATGAAATTACGTACGTTCAAAAAACCCCTTTCTGATATTTTGTACAATACATATGCTTGTGACAAGTTGGATAAATCACCAAAACTCTCTGAATTTTCCTTATAAAGCTTATTATTATGCGTTTTTATATTTGAATTTGAAAGAGAGTTCATTTTTGTTGATTCCACAAAGACTTTTGAGTCATTTGGCAAATAGATATATGTATATAAAAAAATACAATTAGATATTCTTTGAATAAATAATTTTATAAAATAATTAAATTTATATATTAATCTATTTTTTTTTTTTTTCAACATTTGACAAAAATTTTTTGACAAGGCTAATCTCGAACTTTTTTTGTAAGGGTTCATATCAAGTTCTAGAGTGACCCTTTTCTTATCTTCCGTAATTCTTTCTAGTTTTTTTTAATTGTACTTGTCCTATGAGTGATAGCCTGCATTTTGTCTATCGGTGAATAATTTTTCCAATCTGTAATTTTTTCAATTTTACTCAAGGGTTGATTCATTATCTGGTTATTTATTAGATCATCTTTTTCATTTTTTATTACACTCGGGTGTATTGTTCTTGTTTCTTTTGAACTTGTGTTTTTTTTTGAAAACTTTTTTAAAAATTTAATTTTTACTTTTACAAATTTGTAAAGTTCCTTAAAAACAGGCTTAAAAAACGAAGGTTTTTGTCGTGGATGACCAAAAGGGTTGTTCTGTTTCCCTTCCCCAAACTGTTAAAAAACAAAAGTCATCACGAGAATTTAGCGATTTATATTCGTGCCAAGGTTTGAGACAGAAAGGAAATAAAATTTTGATTTGAATACCTTCTGTCAACCAATTTTCCGGAAATTTTTTGTCAGCTAACGGAATACCATTATAAGTACACTTCACATGCGTTTCTCTATTCCATCCCTTTAAATCTTCAGACCATTCAGGAGTTTGAAATAGTAGCATACGCCCGATATTTTTACCGATTATGAATGAAGGTAATAGAATCTTTTTTCTGAGAATTGATTGGGTTATTAATAAAAAACCTCTTATTATTTGGGTATATGGAAAAGTCTCCCAGGCTTCCCCTATCTCTAACCGTTCTATTTCCTCTCGTCGTTTTTTTTCCTTTTTGGTTTCTCTTTTTATTATTATTTTTTTTTCCTCTGTAGATTCTAAAATCCCAAACTCTTTTATGGATGACCATTTTCTAAAAAGCCGTTTCAGTTGAGCCAGGTATGGTAGAGAAAAAAAGGTTTTTTTCCTCATCCTGTCAAAAAAAAGAGGGGAATGCGCATTTGCTTTAAAAAGTCCCTCAATAACTATTTTACGTCTTTGAGTTCGCATAGAGTCTTTTATTAAGCCTTGGCGAAAATCAGATTGGTGCGGATATCGTAATAAAAAAAGCTTATTATCCTCATCTTCCTTTTTCTTTTTAATATTTTTATCTTTCTCATTATCGTCGGATTTTATAGCTTGAATATTTGTATCTTTTGTATTCTTATCTTTGTTTGTAGTCTTATCTTTGAGAGTCTTAGGTTCTTCAAAAATTAATACACTGATCCCTTTTCTTGAACGAATATCATGATCATCTGGTGGATTTGTAAAATACGATATTTGTTCCAATTCAGTTATTAATTTGTATGACCATCGGGGGACTTTTTTACCAATTTCTTCTTTACCTATTTTTTCTATTGCAGAAGATTTTTTATCGTCTGTCTCAATTGCATTTACTAAAAATTTTGTTAGTTGTTCTGAATCCGTTAAATTGAAACTTGATGATAAAGTTGAGAACTCACCAACTTGTAATGGTTTTTTTTCCTTTTTTTCAAAAGTAGACATCAACAATAAAGCATGAAGTCTATTTAGCATAACCTTCTCTCTCAACTTTTTGATCGAAGTATCGTTTATCGACGTGATATCTTTTTTTATTCTTCCGCGGGAAGGCCCATTTAACAAGGGATCATACTTTTCTGGTAAGTATTCTTTTCTAGTCTCATCATTGTGTATACATAATCGCGTTTTGTTTGTTTCAATTTCGATTATTGGAACTGCTACTGGTTTGTCAAGATTTTTAATTCGATTTAGCAATCAATTTTTATAGAATTTAATTTTTGTTTGTTTCTAGAAACCCCAAAAATTGTCCAATGTATTAGAAATATCTTTTTCTAGTGACAAAAGGGGTATCTTTGTTTTGATTATTTGAAAAAAACGTTGATAAACTTATCGGATGGGTAAAAGATATTCTATCTTTTCCATCACTTTTATGTATGTCAAAGAAATATTGTGCCATTTCGTTTCTTACAGCTTGTTCAAGTCTATTATTTTTTTATGTAACGAAATGGGCGAGTCCATCTTTTATAATCAAAAAGAAGAGCCACAATATGTTCTTTATTTTCATTTTTTTCAAGGATTTCCAATTCGGAATCAGACCCTTCCAAGTCTGGTTCATTTACCTTCAAGTCCAATTCTTTTTCCAAAATACCTTTTCTTCGGAAAAAAGGGAAGGATCTTTTTCAGCGGATTTCTTTTTTTTTTCTACGTCTTTTCTTCCTCCCTTTGCAACCTTTCCTTTTCCCTTTGTTCTATTTTTGAGACCTCACTAAATTTCTCTAAATTTCTGAGTAGGAATAGGTAAGGGTGTTCTGCCTAAAGACTGAATACTTAGAATACATACTAGAGTTCCAAAACTATAATTTACTAAAATAAAAAATATAGAATTTCTCACTAGGTACTTTCGAATGATCGACCTAATAACATTATTTTTCTGTATCCAGACTGCTAAAAATTCCAAGCAATTTATGACTAAAATTTGTCCCATTCCCCAAGCAAACAAACTGCTTGTTACAAACAACATCTTATTATTACAGCGAAACAGATAAATGCTTACTAATCGGGCTAACGTTGAACTTGGTAAAATGCAAGTGTTAAGCAACTGAAAAATAAGATGATTGAGGAATACAAAGATATTCTCTAGCTCACGGATCGAATTTTGGTTATTAGATCCATAAGCAAAAATTTTTTTTTCAGTGTTCAAGAAAAGCTGAATCAAAAGATAAGGTAAAGCAAGGACAGTTATTGTATGAGGTCTACCCAAAGCTAGATAAAAGGGCGCATAATAGATGGATACGAATCTCATGAGCTGTCCCATAATAAAACCAGTGGTTGCTGCTACCTTATTATTTGTATTTGTTTCTTTTTCCAGAACCAGAGTTCGCACAAAGAATAAATAAGAGGACCTTATTGAAAATGTGGTAAGAAATCCATAATAAAGTCCGACTACAACGACTGAATTGAGTACCTTCAAGAATAAATCAGAACCTATAAACATAAAAAGCTCCTTAATTAAAATAAAAATTTTTTTGATATTATCAAACAATAAACTAGTAGATTTGTCTTCACATCTTAT